GGTAGGGGGGGGGGGGTAACAGTACAGACACCCTAGGCTGGACCCCTGTCTACACATACCACTGTCATTTTAAAATTACAAAGGTTTTCATCTTTTCATATCAATTCTTTTCTAGATAAGTTTAAAGGAAAACTCTCGCCAAACGTAATAACGCAAAAGTGGCTCCCACAGAATGATATTCTTGGACACAAGAAAACAAGATTGTTCATAACTCATGGTGGTGCCAATGGATTGGCTGAGGCATCATACCATGGAGTACCAATGATCTGCTCACCATTTTTTGGCGACCAGCAAGATAATGGGAGGTTCATTAAAAGCGATGGCCTGGGTGAAGTCTTGTCTGTTGCGAAGGCAACCACTGACCAGCTAGTCAGTCTTATCAACCAAGTCATATACGAGGAAAGGTATGGGGTTTGTCATTTTTATCTTTTGCACAAGGTGCTGCATGGAATAAAAGCCGGAAATAACGAGATTCTGTTGATGGTACTTCTAATAATACACACTATGCTGTAAAGGAGAATCCGGCAAAAAAAGAACGAGAAGGTAGGGAGGGAGGGAGAGATGTAGAGAGATATTATTCATAATCTTACATTATTTATTTCGCCTGTCTTTTAGGTACAAGAAAAGAGCAAGTCACGTGTCTCGAGTCTTAAAACTGCGCCCACGATCTCCGGTAAAGGAAGCAGCGGACCTCATAGAATATGTCCAGGCAGTTGGTAACCTGGACCATCTTAAACCAAAAAGCATGACATTACCTTTCTATGAGTTGTACATGTTGGATGTTTTATTTGTTCTAGGAATAGTTTTTGCAGTGGTGTCTTATATCCTCGTAGCAATGTGCAGACTAGTTTGTGGCAAGATTTTTAGTAGGGGTCCTAAAAAGACAAAGATGTCCTAGTTACACAATATTGCCGCCTTCAAGGGATTGTTGTATTTGGGTCAGTTTGAATATATTTCATTGAATTGTTCCAAATGCCTATCGACTTGAAACGATTGTTTGAAGGGAAGGATTGTAACTCTGATATCTATCATTGTATTGCTTTGTGATGTAAGTGACTTTATGTGGGTGCACTCGGTTTGACCTAGAAGAGATGTCCAAGGGCGGATCCAGGGGAGGGGGTGAATTGGGCGACTACTATCGCTCCCTTGGTGATAAAAGTTATACAATAACAATAATAAAGAATAAGGTACGCCCTAAATAAAGAGGACGCTATGTCTGTCTTCAGTTCTAGGTAACAGTCACGTGCGCAGCGTCTTTGAAATTGTTCTGGATCCGCCACTGATCTCGATGTCCTACTGTTTAATCTCCAGTGATCTAGGTTAAAGTACGATCTTAGTGACCATAAAAATATACATTGTCCCTAGTTGAACAATTTCAAAAACATTGACCGAGGAAGATGAGGCGTCATGTAGACTTCAGACCTGACTTGCGAAACCTTTCTCCCTTACCATATTGATTATGAAGAAAACTTCGCTAACGTTAAGCAATTGCATTGTATTTTTTACGTCTAATCTTTATTTGTACTCAAATAAAACGAAACCATAAAAAGTGGTACATTAATCAATCGTATAATGGGAAATAAACGACTGCTGGGCCCAAAACAAAAAATCAGTTCTATGAGATTTTTCTTCATTTTTTCATAAAAGGATTTTTTCCCAAAGTTCGAATTGCTTCAAGTGGAGGTTACGTGAATGAAAAAAATATATTTTAGCAGTTTGTGTGAGCAGATGGACCAGGAAATGCGACACAGACACGACTGGCATATTTTGATATTTAAAACGGGCTTCCTGTGGCGTTATAACAACGGAAAAGACACTAGTTCGTTCCCAGATCTCACGGCCAATATGGCGGACGAGATGGAGGAAGTCATGGAAAACCAAGTAATTAAAGATTTACGCCGTTCATTCGCAAATTTCGTAAGTATTTTAGGCATTTTACTTTTGAATAATTTCCTAAGGTAGTAAACTAATTGGTTTCGGCTCGACACAGAGAGAAGACAATAATGAAGGCTGCCATGTCGTGATTGCTGTTCAAAGGTGTTTGGAGGTCAGAAACATTTTAAAGACCTTGACAGCCGTCTTGTTGGAACAGGAAAACAAAGTAAGCAGACGCTAAAAGTAATCTTACATTGAAGTAGTTGCTGGTTAGAGTGAGACAAATACTAGAAAAATGCCAAGTTGCAGTACGAGACATGAACCAATTTGATGACAGAAATTACTAGCTAGTACAGACTTGTACAGATGCATGGGGTGTGTGTGGGGTAGGGTAGGGGTGGGGAGGTGGGGGGATGGACTTAATCACTAGCCCCCCAGCCCCTTGAGTTCTTAAAAATTAAAGTTTAAAGAGTAATCAAAATATCTATTGTTTTTCATGATCACAGCCACACACCCCCCCCCCCCCAACATAATATTAAATAAATAATAATGTAATATTAAATTCCCATTTTTAAGAGGTCATGTGACTTTATCTTATATGGATAATTGTTTTTGTTTGAGCCTCATATTTAAGCATCTCTTAGCTAAACTTATTTGGTTAATAAATTAAAGAAACAATACTCAAGGCAATCTCACAGGGTCTGGAAGGAGTTCCGGAACCCAAATAATGCATGATTTTTCCTGAAATCCCATGTTCTGCAAAAAATTAAAAAACAGAAGGAAAAATCAAATTGAAAATAAATATTAGAAAAATTTTAAAGCAAAACCCTACATCCCAGACATTGAATACGGCAATGACCAAGTCACTTCTGATGCTAATATCCGGAATCATGTAAGATTCTTTCTAGTTTCCTTAGACCCACATTGTATTTTATCTGTTTCCCAGCTGTGGCAATTAATTACCTTTCAATACCCTGATCACAGTGAAACTGAATAGGTAAACTAACTCTTGTAAAAATACCACTGACAATTTTATTAACTTGCAAATATTTGTACTGTATCATATGCTAGGACATATTAGAGTTCATTGGATGGGAATTGATTGGCGTACTTGTTCAACAAGAAGACTTCCAAGTAGCAAATGATTACTACAGTGATTTACTAGAGGCTATAGCAGAGGTGGGTTAATAGATCAAATTATTAAAACTTTATTGCAGATATATATTGCACATTAGTATCATTACCCAGCTAAGTATGAAAAATTGTGCAAGATGATTGGTCAAGAAGTATGTGCTATTTCTTAGTAATCGCCTACAGGTGGATACGTGCTACAGGATTGAGCGTGCACTGTTTGTTGATTTGTGCCACTTTCAAAATACAAAATCAATATAAAGGTTACAATTCACCTTTTCAGCGCTAGCTTGGATTGTGTTACGGTCACCAAAAAGTACGGACATCGTTCTTGGATTCCCATACAAATTCACTGACTTTAAAGAGAAAATTTAGGTAGATTTCTTTAGTTAGCTATCTTGACAGCAGTTAGAAAAGCTTCAATCAAGCTAGAAAAATGATTATTTACTTGTATTTAGAGAACTAACTAAACATTAACCAAGTAAATAGTTCGTTTAGAGTCAGTACATTTGTACGGAAATTTGAGAACAATGTCCTATTGATGAATGAACTATTTGGTGACCGTAACACAATCTAAAACAATTTATACCCCAGGATGGCTAGCGCCAAAAAGGTGAATTATTAATAAACCAATGTTGCCCATTTTCTTTTAAATAATCACCTGTATAATGGTATGTCTAAGACAATTATTATTCACTGAATATTTGCCTCACTGCTTGAAGACTTGCAGCTCAGTAAATATTTAAAAATTATTCGCCAAAGGCAAAGTGATAATTGGTAAAAAATTTACTGAGAGTCTTCGAGCAGTACAATTTCTCCAGCTGAATGTAGGCTAACAATATTTGCCAAAGGCGAAGTGATTATTGGTGAAAATTTACTGAGAGTCTTCGAGTTGTATAATTTCTCCTGCTGATATGCAGGCTAACAATATTTGCCATAGGCGAAGTCATTGTTGGCAAATATTTACCAAGAGTCTTCAAGGGGCTCGATAAATATTTGGTGAATGTAATCTTATAATCAATGGTCACTCAATTAACTAATCACAGCGTGTGGAATCTGTGGCACAGTGGTTTACCGTTTGCCTCTCACCACTGTGGTCCTGGTTCGGGCCCCGCACATATGTTGAGTTTGTTTGATGTGTTGTTCTCTCCTTTGCCACAAGCGGGTTTTTTCCAGATTCTCTGGTTTCCTCCCTCCGTAAAAAGCACACGAGTTGTCAGTGTCGTAACATTATAAATATAGAATGTAGTGGTAGTGCGTGGAAGGAACCTCAGTGAAGAGCATTGTATGGGGAGTGATGGATGTAAAATGTAAGATTTTTTTAAAGTTTTTTATATTCACATCTAAAATTGTACTTCTCACCAACTTTGCCTTTAAGAAATAATTGTTAACTATTAATAGAATGTGTATGGATTTTATTTTCCAGAACTGTAGCCCTAAGGAGGTGTGTTTGGGAATTGTTGAACAAATGGACTCCAATTTAAATTCAGAAGTATTTTTAACTTTACTGGCTCCATTACAAAAAGGTATGTTCTGGATGAATTATTTGTATCAGGTGCAGCCACAGGCAGCCCAAGCAATGTATCTGTGCTGTCTTATGCGGAAAAAATCATAAAATTAAAAAATTGACTTACTGCAGTACCTTGATCTCATGTTGTTCTTGATGCTTTTTAACTTCTTCTTGGGCTGTTTGGGCTTTTAGCTGTTTTTTTTCTTCTCATTTCCCCCCTCCCCATCCCCTCCCCTACCTAAGGAGCAGGCGCAGGAGCAGGCGTAGCTGAGTTGGTTAGTGCGTGACCTTCAGAGCTCGAGGTCCATTGTTCGATCCTTAGGATCTCCACATCTGTTTCGACTTCTCTCTAATCCGTGTAGCTTCAGCTTTGAATACTCTTAAAACAGAGCACTGATGGAGAGAGGGGGTAAAGTGCGCACCTCCGGCTTCCATTGATAGCAGTTGAATTTCAACTGAAGGAACTAGTAGACCAACATTAAATATACAGTAGATACTTTACTTTAAAAATAGGTAATCTAAAGACTGGCGACTAGATTTTCTACCATCTCCTTTAGGTAGCGGAGGGAGAAAATGAGAAAACCTAGTTCACAATATTCTTAATTTTTCATTGATCTTCATTATTCTTCTAAGTTTTTCAGAGAATGAAAGGAAGAAAGTCAAAGTTCTTCAAGATGGCTATTCCAAGGATTCTACATCACATAGCTATGATACATTCACCTGTCAATGAACAGAGTGAATCAAGTATGAGAGAAAACAAAACTGACTTATCATCAACTCTAGACAGAGTTCTCATGCTCCTAGGATGTCTTGTTAATGATGCAAAGACTGGAGCATGCAAGGTATGTTGTATTTAACTTGCAGACCTCTGTATCATCTTGTATACTATTGAATGTCCTATTTCAAAAAACATTGTTGGTCGGAGGTCTAAAATCTAAAGGCCAAGTAGCGCGCTGTAATTTGTAATAATATATTCCCTGCCAGACAACATAGTTCCCTTTTAGATAGGAATATAAGGCATGGCCTTTGAAATAGAAATGTCATTCATTTTAGCCAGAAAGCATAAAAGCAAACTTTTAGTTTTAGTTTCAGATTCACTCATCATTTCAGATCTCAAACTGACAATGGTTTTTGAAATAGGTGTATAGCTACCCAGCATACATGTTCGTACCTAACAACTAAAAAAAGTTTGCACACACACAGTAGTATCATATTTCATTGATACATATCATTCTAAAACCACAAGTCTAGAAACCTTAATTCGCATGCACTATGTGCAACCATTATCAGAGTATAAAAAAATATTTGTTATAGTCTATTAATTGTTTTAGGTTAATAATTATTTAATATTCAATATCTCAATTTTAGCCAAATAATAAAGATGATCCAGAGTTGAAAGCACAAAACTGGGAGCTGGAGAAATGGTAATGGCATTTAAAATTAACTTACATTTTTAATTCCTTAAGGGAGAAATGGGAGAAGAATGGGACCAATTCCTTGTCAGAGGGGAAAATATTATAGAGGTTTTGCACCATCATGTGCCGGTGCCATAACCCAGCTTGGACTGCCTGTGGTTAGATGGCAGAACAATAAAATCCCTTTGCTCTCGGGAATTAAATTCTTTCTCATGTAAATCGATTGTATTGTTCATGCCATCTAACACGGCTGCCGTCACATGATGGTGCAAAACCTCTATTAAAATAATATGATTACAGCTGTGATGTGAGGAGCAAGCATGATATGAATTCAGGTTAAATTTAATTAGGAGTTTTAATTTTGATTTTCTTGGAATATTTTAGTTTAACTAGAATGCTAGAGACACTAGCATTTGAAAACCTTAGCATGGCTAAAAGTTCTGACTCAGTGGACAACAAAGAAGATTATGAATTAACATCAACAGAATCGTACAGAGATCAGGCACAAAGGATATTGGTAAGGACAAGACCTATACATTTTATTGATACCCTGAAACAACTTCTGAGTGATCAAAATGGGGGCGTCCAGGCTAACATTCCTTTGAAGAAGGAGGAAATTTAATGAATTTTATTGATGATCTGTATTGCAGAGCTTGTTACAAGATTTACAGAGCCAAGTTTACCTGTTAGAGTATGCTTCTGTGAATTTAGAATGCTACACTAAGAAACAAACACCTACTGTAAAACCAAATGATGTTTGTGCAGATGAGCAAGGAAATGAGAATGAAGATGACGATGAAAAAGGTTGGTGAAGATGTAGTCAAGCATGATGGTCAAATGTGGATTATTGGAAAATAATTTGGTTGAGAAATTGAAATTATATTAAAGACCCATTGCCACTTACCGTGATGCACCGCGGTCACATCTATGAATTTCGTGGTCCATGAAATTCAATGATTCATATATTGAATAATAACTTCATATTAAATCCTTTTCCGACATAGCACTAAGGCACAAAAATGATTCTTTTACATTATTTTATGGCCTTAGGGACTATCTAAGAGTTTATTCAAAAGGTTGGAATTGTTTTTTCAGTGGTGACACGATTCAAAATGTAAACAAATTGTGATGCATCACGGTAAGTGGCAATGGGTCTTTAAGATAAAAGGAAGAGACAGTAAGAATGGTTATCGTATTGAAAGGACCGATAAGAGGGATCGCAATGAAAATAGAAAAAAGAAAAAGAAAAAAAAGAAAAGCAGGGAGAAGAGATACAAATAGAATGAAGGATTAGGAGCTAGGTAAAAAATATGAAAAATGAGAATGAGCAAAAAATGTGTGGAAAGGGTTGTTAATATCATGGGTATAGGAATGGAAATAAAAGGGAAGAGACAGAAAAACAGGAAGTAAGAAAACGGAAAGAATGACGAGCTAGGAAAAAAAATTAAAGAGAGGTGAAAAGATGGGAAAGGGCTGTAACGTGGGATGGGAATCGTATATAAAAATGAAAGGAAATAAACACTGGAAACAGGATAGAATGAAAAAAGGGGGGAAGGATTAATAAGTAAATGGGAATTAATGATAAGATAAATGAAAGTGTGGAACAGGGATTTGGAACGGAAATTATGAAATGATGAGAAGTAGGAGTTTTATATTGTTAGAGTTTTGCAATATATTTTACGAGCAAGTGCTTTTTTTCTTTTGACTGATTCAGAGCTTCTGTCTCTCCTTGGACTCGGTTGTTATGGATACTTAGTACTGGCAGAAAACGTGGCTCATATTCCACAAGTATTTAGGTTAGAGGTACATCTATTATATATATTATTTACCAACCAAGAGATACGGATAGGGAAAACTTGTGCCCAAGGTCTTTAATATTCTGACCAAGGGCGGCAGAGGTCCAGTCTGAGGGCACAGTTTTCCCCTGTCTAGACTGACTTCATATAAAAATAACTAATTTATTATTACTTCCATTTGCAAGTTGAAACATAGGTGTTAAATTGTCATCAGCAACATTATGAGTTTTTCTATGCAGATATGGTTCTTTGGGATCCATACGTGTACATAATCATCATCATCATGGCCTTACCACTGTTTTTTTTCCTCTACAGCATAAAATATTTATTAAAAATAAACATGGTGTACATAGCATGTCTTTTAGAAAGGTTTGTGAACTTAATTACCTAGACATGGTATGATAATAATGTGTATTAATTTATTCCAGAAATTTCCATCCCCCCTCCCCCCTCCCCCAGAGAGGAATTTTGAATTTCCAAGGTTGTAGGGGGTCTAGAAAAAAATATTCCTGCATGGAGGGAGGGGGTATGGATAATTTCTGTGATAAGCATTTGTTATTAAAATTAAGATCACTTATATTATGTTATATACTATTAATTCTGAATCATGCCATCATTTGATATTAATTTCCAGAACTGAAAATCAAGTCATTTACAAAGGACTGGTAATACAGTGTTGATTGTTTTTTGTTTGTTTTTTGTTTTATTTTAATAAATGATCAATATGATGGAAATGATGAGACTTATATATATGTATAAACTTAACTTGTTCTTTTACACATACAGGAACTCCTTGATTCATTAATACGATACATAGCAGAGGGAACTGTTGAACATAACCTACTGACTTCCCCTGGATTACTGGACATATTTAAGGTACTTGGACTGGCTCAGAGGGTGGAAAAAAATCTTCAAATTTTTGTCAATCCCTAACTGCTATTGGAGTAGTTAAATACTTTTTTCATGGATTTATGTCCATACTTCAGCGCAATGCAAAAAATAAGCCAAAAACTTCGTAAAGTGTGTAGAAGAATATGACATCTGCATGATGGCATTGTTTGTTTCCCAATACCAAGATGCTAAGTTGCAAATTTTCTTTCTTTAGTTTGTATTTCTTCATGAGAAAAGTAAGACAATTGGTGACAATTAACTGAACAAAAGAAAGTGTGCAAGGCATTCTTGTTAGGAGTCAAATGACGCCATCATGCAAACATCATATGATATTATGGGAATATATTATGGTGAAGCACGGGTGAAGTAGTGGTGAGATTGTTAGATTCCTGGACTTGGCATTATATGTGAGTAGAGTTGTTTCATTGTTTCTCTACTAACCTGCACTTAGAGGGCTACTCAATCTGGTACGAGATAAATATCCCAAGACCCCACCCTACCCTACTCCCTAAAGTATAAATTCACATTTTGCCATTATTGAATTAATCATGTTTTCCCCCACAGAGATTAATCAATGTAATGATATATTGTACATCAAAAATACTTGTAAGTATAAGCAATCTACTGTAGATGGAATTATAAACAAATTAGATCGCATTATATTCCACATATTACTACGGATCTCACCAAACTGTGGCGACACGCCAATAATTTGTCTCGCTATCATGCCCAAAGTTGTCTACTGACATGCCTACTTTTGCCACTGTCTCAGATCTAGCACATTGCCAGTAAGGTATTCACTGTAATACATGAAAGATGGAGGGACTTGAATTTAAAATCAAAGTACAAGAGAGATGTGTTGATTTTCCTGGAGAGAAACCAGAGTGGTAAATTTCCAGCGTTTTCGACGATTTCATCAATTATTAGTGAGCGAAACTCATCTGAAAGCGCTTTTCCGGCCAAATTTATTCATCTCCATATGTATAAAATTTATACAATTTTACGCTCGAACGCACTACTGTAACAAAAGTAAGTGTGTCAGTAGACGAATTAGGGTGTGGTAGCGAGACAAATTTTTAACATGTCGCCACAGTTCGGTGAGATCCGTAGTAATATCCTGTTTTATTAACTTCACTTTCACGACTGCTTTTCTATTTCAAATCTGTAGCCTTTTGTTTGTACTTTTTTGAGAATGATATGTACATAGGCACTGCGTGTAAGCTGAGGATGGAAGGAAGGAAGGAAGGGAAGGGAAGAGGAAGGAAGAGAGGGAGAATAAAGGAGAGGTTGGGAGCAAGTTATTGCAGGATGATTAGAATCTACAGGATTTTCAAAGACAAAGTTTTGAGACCTGATTTATGATTTACGTTTTGAAATTCTTTTTTTCCAGAGACAGAGGGCTATGAGGATATTCCAGCAGCTAATATCTAAACTAGATACAAGAGGGTGTTACATGATATCAAGGTACAGTAACATCATTGTTTAAGATCGTTTTTGAAATATGGGACCTGTAATGAGCATGATAATTAGCTCTATATTCATCGCTACCAGTTTATTACTTGACAAAAGTCTCAACTTAATCACGATTAGACTACACTATTAACTGTCAATCAAAATTTTTACATTAATGACAAATTGATGTACTCTTTGAGTGAAGGCATTTAACCAGTGCAATATATATTAGACTAATAATAACGATTTGTTCTCAATCTGTGCATAACAATGAAAACACTCAGAGGTAATTAACTGTAGCTCATTCTAAGCTGCCAATTGATAAAAATTATTTATTTATCATGATGAATATTTAATATTAGGATATTATTTGTTATTAGGTATTTACTTCTTGATTGTACTCATGCGGGGGTGGCTGGATTGTTAATACATAACATCAAAGAAGAAGTCCATAAGAATCTATATGTAAGTTTGAATTTTGCAGTAAATAGATATCACATCAACTACACAGCAAACCTCTGCAAAGGGAGATAACTAAGCAAGCAAAGAGCATTTTAAAAGGCTGTGCACTGTACCCTTAATCATATATATATTCAATGCATATCTTGATATATTATATTAGGAGACTTCATAATCACCAAGTCTAGTAACTGCAATTCTTGATATTCTGAGAAGTCACTACATTTCAACGGCTTGCAGTGAAATTGCTTTTTTGCTGCTGTCAATCAAATCTAATCAGTCGGCACATTTTTTTTTTTTTTGACTGGCGGCAGTGGCATTCCAACGAGCAGCACACATCTACAGTACCGAGTTCACAGAATGTTGAGAATTGCTTGTTAATCATCATTAATATTTCTTATTAGTAATAAATTTTTTTTTCATGGAAAAAATTATGTGTAGTTCCAAAAATTATCCATACCCCCCTCACGGAGGAATTTTTTAAAGACATCCCCCTACTCTTCGGAAATTCCAAATTCCTCTGTGGGGTGGGTATGGATGATTTCTGGAACTACACAATGTCCAAATTTGTTGTTAAAATTGCCATATTGATTTTATCTTTATGTTATCTTTTAGTCCCAAGATTATGACATGTGGTTCAGAGGCAAGCAACTGGTAAGCCTCTTGTTGCAAGTGTGCAAGCTACCCAAAGGAGTAGGAAGAGAGAGAGATCTCATACCAGAAACAGAAAGGTATAAATAAATATTAATACTGAACACTTCCCTTAACACTTCCCTTCCCTAAGCAACTTAAGGTGGCTGCCTACTTTTGAACGTTCGATTTGAGCCCACGATGTGCGCGCGCTCAAAAACCGCTGAAAGAT